CAATATATCCCAGTTAATGCTACGTTGATACAAAAAGCAAAGAGAGCATACACAGACTACAAAAAACACCTGTTACCAAACCATGACTCACTGCACATGCTCCTTTGACTTTACTAAAACAACACCCACAGTGTTTCATTGTTTGTATCTTAAGTTGATGCTACACTTTATCAAACTGAATCTCTGTTGAGTTAGTGATGTGCAATTGATATTGATTTTCCGGTAAGACAACATTTCCTTGTGTGACAGTAAGGAAGGACACAAAGACACAAAACAATGGCCTTACCAGTGCTTGTGTCATGCTCTTTGACTTTCCACCTTTCACATATTTGCACGTACACACAGCTGATACTATGACTAAGGCAACCACACCAGCCGCAATCAAGAGAAGCCATCGCAGAAGCATCCACGGATTTTCTGAAATAGAGGAAAGGTTGTTTGATAGACATGTTACAGGAAAATGCTTGAGCACTTAAAAGCAGGGAGCTATAAAACTTCCCAGGGTGACGTGCATGCTTAGGAATGTTCTCAAGGAGTATCCTGACTACACCTGTCACACAGAGCACATGAATACAGACATTCCTGAATTTCCGGTATGTAGAAGTATTTTCGAGATGAACTTGAATGATAGTTAACTGTAACTCCTCTAAAATAATACAGAAATGGATTTTCTGTGAAAACTCCTTTGCACTTGTGGCTTTTACTGTCATATATGGCACTAAGGAATGTACACTGTCAAGCACAGGTGAGAACATTATCTTTGCAAGTCCAATGTGTAATCTTATCTCTTGCCTAATCGAGTTCACAATAATAGGGGTAGATTTTTTTGAGATTTAAAAAGATTACGTTTTTAGTACAGATTTACAGAAGGAACAGCGTGTTTATTGTGTAGCCTCATTTTCTGCTTCATTGCAGTGCCAGTGAGTGCCTCATCTGTGTGGTGCAGATGCAAAGGCTTTAAGAAGCGCTGATTTATAACAAACTGTCTTGATTTATTATCAAACACTGCAGTCACTCGAAGAAATTTGTGCAGTCTGATTAAAGTCAAATGTAAAAAAAAAAAGCAGCATTTTCAAGCATCTTAATTTTTGCATTTTCTCTTCAGCAGGTGGACCCTTGAAAGCTTCCTATGGGGTTGTCAAGCAGCACACAGTTTTCTCAAGTGAAGCCTGATTTTTGTAAATATTATCAGGGTACAGGAGTTTTAAAAAAGGTACACAAGTATTAACATTCAAAACTGACATCAAGTTTTGTTGTTCAAAAACAGTCCATCATAGTTTGAATACCAACAAACAAACAACCAACATATTCATGTTTGAATAAAATGATATTTTTATATGCTGTTGCCATTATTGTGCTAACCTGGCAGTGTTACACAGAAGGAGGCGCTCTCACTGCTCGGGCGACCCCAGTCAGAAGATGGTTTGTAGATGACTGTGCCGCAGTATTTAGACTTCTTCTTTAAGTCGATGCTGAACTGGCCAGTGTGGCTCTCAAAGTGCTAGAGGAAAAATACGTTCATATTAATGATAGTTGTGTAGTCACAGGTTAGAGCAATCAAACACATTTTGCTGTGTTCTGTTATAATGTACAGGAGAACTAAACATGAACTAATGGTAAATGCTTTTTAAAATAATTTAGAATATGTTTCTCAGCTTGTTACGAAGTTTAAAATGCATGTCAGGGGCCCACTTACAATATAGAGATCAGATTTTATCCAGATCAAGCTTCAGTTCAGTTTAAAATTCAGTTATTCAAAGCCAGTGTGGATTGGTTGTCATAGTAAGATAACCAAAGCCACGAAGTCAAACACAATTCGAAAGCAGGTTTATTTAATGTAAACATATTGGAACAATAAAGGATGTCATGGCATCACCCGACCGTGACTGTCTTGACATTAGCAAAGGCGTTCACATGGAAGAGAGCACTGCATAATTTGTCTCGATCCTTTTGTCTTGATCCATAGTAGAAAAATAACACTTAGGCAAGGAGAGAATAATTCAGTTATGTCATTTTCTAGCAGTCCATATTTGGAAAAAAGATGGGATTTCCTGCCACTGCAGGTAATCAGTTACAGAAGAAAATGGAATCAGCACTCCTTATTCACAACCCTTTAAAATGGCCTTTTAATGTAGCTCTTAGTTTTTTCCCTGATCTTTTGCTTTGGACTCTAATCTGATTTTTCCTATTTTGTGTTTGCATTGTCTCCTTGTTTAAAAATACTTAAAACTCAACCCTATTCTTATGCATTTGTACGCTTCAAGCTAGAAAAAAAAAGTTTCTAGTCAACAACATTAATTTCTCTATGCTCTTTAGTAGTAAAATAACATACAACAACACCCACCCCCAATAATCAGAGCCCACTTGACAAAATGATACAGAAGATAAAAATACAGATATGCAGTTAAGCTCAATACTCATGTTGTATTTTTTTTACCCTTTTATTCACATGAAACATAAATATAGCTCCCTAACGTCTGCTAGTGTTTGTTAGTGTGTACTTATGAGTCATTAGTCCTTAGCAAAATATGGCAGTGCAGTGAAACATTATAATATGTCATTGATCACTCATTTACACTATGCTTAACTTTCCTCTGATCACTTAGTTGTTGTGTTTGTAGCTTTCCAAAAACGTGTTACCAACAGGGAAGTTGAAGATGTGTCCTCTGGTGGTCATAGTATTAAAAACATTCATAATGCACTTGAAGGCTGTTAATTTACTCTTATCAGGTGTTATAAATGCTATAAATACTATCACTGAATGGCTAATATTAGCCAATATATATTGGTTGGGCTCAAATAATAAGAATTACCAGAGTTGAGCTTTTTTTAATGTGTGTAGACTGGTTCACTGTTCTTACTGATACATACATTTGTTGTCATCAGCAAACAGTAGTAGATTAAATGTCTATATTTTTTAAATTTATTGTAATTTTGGTTTCACTTGTGCCGTATTTTACACAATACATAGATATGCACACAGTATGTTTTATATTGTAAATTCCCACTCACCGCTGTAGCCCAATCTGGGTAGTATAAATTCAAGGTATAGATAAATTTAGTCTCGAATAGCCCTTTTCTGCCGTTAATGATGATGTCTGCAATGGAGACTCCATTTGGTCCCACAGGCAAGGTGACATTAACAAACAGAGACAACTCTGTTGTGGATGTAGACAAGATGGGTGGACCAAAAATAGCTATGGAGAAAAGATGAAGATGGGGAAAAAAAGATGAATCGATGAATATTGCGATATAATAGTTCTTACTATAAGATGCAAGGAAATGTATGATTGAGTATGGGTATTCTTACTGTGTTCTGAAGGTTTAAACCTTGTCTCAGTGGAACCGTGAGCTCTGCCATTAACCAACACCTTAGCGTGGTAAGAAACATCATAAACAAAGGGCGTTTCTGCCGTCAGGTCACAGTACAGGACGGTGATATTCTGACACTCGTCTTTTATCTTGTATGACTGATCGCTATCATCACTGTAAAGAGAGTAATGCAATATAATCGAATTTTGATAGCAAAGTATATTAATTATTCATTATAATCCTTGTATATTATAAAAAGTTGTGAAAACCAGCATTCAAGCACTGAAAATATTATGCGCCTCAATGGCTGCACTGAATTCACAGAATTCTCCATAATCATTTTACCACACATACATTTTTTTTTATTTGAGAGAGACAAATGAGCATTTTGTGTTAATAAGAAACCATTATCCTGCAGGCATGCTAGTCTTTCTCTGCAGCTAAAATGAAGCTGAAAATCACTCCAGAAATTTCAAGTGACAGTAGCTGGGAGAAAAGTCAATTGGATAGGAGGAGCACTTGACATTTGTCTAAGAAACTACATCATGATTAATTGGACAAGATGACATTTCCACTTTGTGGAGGCCGTTTGTAGAGACTGATTGAAAAGAGTAAAAAAAGAAATCAGCTTGGAAGCTTCATATGAGTATTGGAGCTCTCTTTAGTGACGAAAGCAGCATAGAAACAAACATGTAGGCTGCTAATCACTTGTAACAAGCCTTATTTTTTTGGAGATATTTAGACGTGCTTTAGAAGTTTTCTAAGCCACACAACAGCATGATAAACTTGACTAACTGTGGGATTTTTGAGGCACGTTGTGAGTCACTGTGTTTTTATAAACACACATGTAGGGGAGGAGAGAAAGGGGGAAAAGAGGTGGTGAGGGAAAGCAACAGAGGGGCCTCTACTCTTTGCAAAATAGATTTCTAGATCCTGACGGATAAGAATGGCAATTTTCTATGTTTTTGTATGGAGAGATCCAATCTCAAATCTCCAAAAACCGTCATCAAAAATGTATGAATCTTTAGAAAAGGCCTGAAATCAGCTTAGATTTTATCAGGATTTACTCAAAGAGTAATTGAATATTTGTTTTTGTCTCTGCAGTAGCCTGTATGTGAGCTCAGAAACAGAACAGTATTTTTCCACTGCAGTGGGGTAGTTCATGGAAGGACCATTAACAGTGTGTGTCTGTGGCAATTTTAGTCTTTTTTTAAATGTCTTTAGTAAACATACAGAAATGATAAAACAGAGATTAAGATTATTTTATACAAGTCATTTGAGCAGAGGACATTTGTAAAAATAAGCAAGGTTTTGTCCAGCATGCCATACCTGCCATCGCAACACTACATCTATATACAACCCTAAATCATGTGGCACCCAGCCCTGTGTTCTTAACTTGTTGTCAAGTTGCATTATAACTTTTCCACGACAGTTTGTAATGAGACACCAGCAACACTTGGCAAAAAAGTGTGTTTGCATTGGCCCCTTATATCAGAGCAACAGTGCAGGGAAAGTACAGCTGTCACATAATCTTGCATCAATCATGCTGGACTTACTTCTTGTACTTGACACTATAGAGTAACCTTTGCCCTGGAAAATCACTCTTTGCAGGATCCCAGTGGAGTATGTTATTGAAATTCCTGGAGTTAAATTGCACTGTGACATTGCCAGTTGAGGATTCTGTAAAGACAAAGGGAAAAGTCTGTCAGTCTTTTGCTACAAATAATAATCCTTTGTTTGAATAAGTGATTTCTTTTGATAGTATTTTTAAAACCAATAAATTTAAAATGAGTCATTTCTGTTGCTTTTTCTTAATACAGTCGGTCTAAAAGCATTCGTGCTCTCAGCTAATACAGCTGCCTGAATTTTGAACTAAAGAGGGTAGTAGTTACCCAGTATAACTGAACTGAGCACACACTGGATTGGGACTGCGGGGAGATCATTTAAGATGGGCTTTGTTTCAACAGGTGGCTGAAACTCAAGAAGCTCTTGGTTCCTTTTCCAGTCATATCTTTGATACATGGATATAAAACTCGGCCATTTCCCAGGCTGTGACTCAGGATGGGAAACCATATCCTTTACAAGCTGCATTTTGGAGTCAAACCATACGCACAGATTTTGCATGAAGTTTATCGAAAGCTTGAAATTTGGACACAGTAAATTCAGAATTAGCTTTTTAAAAAATTTGTGGTTCAATGTCATCTATTAAAGACTCCATTTATTTTTTTTATTTTTTTTTTTTGCTCATTTACAATGGCCAAGGAGTTCTCGGTCACCGAAACTCTTTCATTTCAAATAAGAGGGAATAACTCAATTCTGCAAGTGTTTCTTTTTTATTTCTGCTGTTAGAAAATAATGATCCATTTAGTGTAAGCCTGCCTCTAGTTGACACCTGTAAATAAGAGAAAAAGATCCAAATTAACTTGCTGTACTCACCAAAGCAGAAAAAGAGAAGCATCATAATGTTCATGAACCACATCTTCATCACTTATGTGGGCTCCAAAAATTCCAGGTAGTTCTGCTCTCTTTTAAGTAAAACCAAAAAAATACAAAAAAGGGGGAAAGAAACACACACACACACACAAACACACCTGCATAAAAAAGCTACCTGATGTCAGAAATCTTCCCAAACAAAACCTGAATGAATGTGAAAAACGCTGTTAAGTCTTGGAGCTGAATAAGGTTTCAAAGCATTTCCCTGCCTCTGCTTCTCAACCATCTCTGATGCGATCTAGGAAAGGAGTGGCTTTACTCAGGTGTGCAGGTGTACTGGACTTTGACTTGCCATAACTTTGTTCCTGTTTTTCTTCTTGCTATATGTCCCGCCCATTTTCTGTTTCCAGAATTACAACTTCCTTCTTTCTTCCCTCCCTCCTCACCTTGAGTCAGTCAATCTCTCTCTGGACTTGTCTTTCAGGTTTTCATGGTTTACTGGAAATGATCGAGATTTGAAACTGGAAAAAACAGAAAGTGAAAGAAAAAAAACTTTGCGTATATATGGGTCACAGACCACTGTTATATATGCTGAAACAGCCCAGGGTTGACACTTATAACACACAGTTCAGGCAATAAATACATAGATGTGTAAGTTATGTCACAGTTTCTGTAAGTGTAGTACTGTCTGATTCAGAAAGCTGTGGGATATGTGCTGTGGAATGCTACCTGTTTTTGAGGTTATAATGAAAAGATTAAGGAACCATGCCCAGTGGTTACAAGATACTGGCTCATTCACACAGATCATCTGCCAGTAGGCTTGGCTGGTACTAGAAACTCATTTTCTTTTGTTCTTTGCATGATTCACAGTTCCATATAAACCTTACTTATAGGCGTTGGACCCTCTTAGTTAATTCTATGTGATTTTAACGACTCTACCTTTGAGGCAGGCTTTGCTTGCTTTAAACCAGCTTTCTTGTGATTGGCTGCTCCTTCCATACAGAAGTCTGCCCTCACAGACATACTGTACATCACATACATATATAGACGCTTATGCCCCATCCATCCATCCCAAAATCTTTTTAATTAGATATTAGCTTCATATAGATTGGTTATAGGTATTATTTTTCATTTGTTTTTATTTGAAACATTGCATAAGATTATCTGAAATGGTTTGCATCCTGAAAAATAAAATGGCATGTCATCTATAGCAAAAGTTTGCTGATGGTTGAAAATCTGTTAAGTTCTTTTCTTGATTTTCTGACAACAACAATTATAAACAGACTGGAAGAGAGCAACATTATGAAGTAAAACAAAAGTTAATTGTAAAAGTGTACTTGATATTAAACTCTTTATGCTGTACTGTTGACATAAAATGGTTGCGCACGAAAGTCAATGGCTCAAACACAGAAAAGAACGGGTGACTGATCACGTGAAAAAATGAATGCAACCCAAGTTCGTTGACACAGCTATCGCTTTCAAACAGAGGCCTAGTAGATTGCCTGGTTAATGTTTCTCATGGCAGAGAGTTTGATTTGTTTGAACAGGAAATACATGGTTATATGGCTTGAATATCCTTGTCTTACACTCATCAAAAAACAGGCTCCTGGCTCCTGAAAAGAAGTGCGTAAGCTAAGTTGAAAGCTTAATGGGCAATTCATGGGTTTCAGAGTTCAAATTCCTCAGCCTAATTTTAGATTTTCATCTAAATTTTTAAATACATATTAAAAAAGTAACCAAGGTTACCAAAAGATTTTATGATTTTTCGCTCACTTAAATTAATGTGTAATCTCTTGGCGACAAGCGGCATACTAAACAATTAGGCAATTTATGACAATATATAATGAAGCAATTAAAATTTTGGACCAAAAAGCTATAGGGGCACAACTTAAGAAATTAAACATGTTAAAGTTTGATAATTTTTATCACATTCACTAATCCAAAGTTAACACATAAATATTTACATAATCAGGCTACCCTGGTACTCGGTGACCTTGTGGTTCCTCTTAAAGTTCTGAGTTTAGAAACACTCAGAGCACTTACTGAAAATTATGAGATGTGTGTATTTTTTATATATAAATTGCTTATGTTATTGATTTTAAAGTCAGCTTAGGTTCTTAACGTTGTGGTGTTGTGATGTTCATGCGACATATTTGTCCCCATTCATTATCTTTTTTTAAAATATGTAGGTAGACATCTCAAAGCTGGGAGTGCCTATTGTATATAATAGGAATGCAGTTATTATGCAATATTAGATCATCAGTAGCTCTCACAGTTAAAGCAGACGCCCTGTTTGAAGGAAAATGTAGTTTTACGTGTTGATGCAGTCATGCTTAAGTGAACTTTGGACTTGTAAGTCTTCAAAAACATATTTATTTATATAAATGTTAGATACTCATAATTTTTTTTATCCGACAGACAGACTTCCGGCTCACAGGATACTTACTGTTAAGGTTGTTAAATGTACAGCTAATCTTTAATCCAGAAACACTGCAGGTCTCACGGGGAAGCAAAGTGATCACATTAAAATATTGTATGCCACTCTGAGCTTTAGAGTCATAAGTTTCATCGTTAATTGCTCGCTTGAGTGGCAAAGGGCAAATCATAATCAAATTTAACAAAACAACAAGCTGACAAAGACTGACTTTGAGAGTTGGGATTCTGAGCCCTGAGTTATGACCGTAAGTCACAATTTAAAATGCTCCCACGATTTGAAAAGCAAAACTTATTTCTACTTGGCCTCTAACCCTCATTCTTTCCCTGTTTTAATGTGATTAGATTTTGTGATGGCGCCTAGTTTTCTGATAAATTATGCATGCTCTTATAATCTGTGGGCTTGTTCAATTAAAACTAAGAAGTAAATGTCATTGTTTTGCTTTGCCTTCCCACTTTTTTTTGGACAAAATGAATACATTAAAGCATTGAAACCAGCTCTTAGGACAAAGTATATACATGAGGTGTATATGAGAATGATTTTGAAATCCAAAATGCTCTTTTCTACTACATATTGACATATAGGTGATGGAATCATAAACACAAAAGCAATATCTGTAGGTCAGGCTGAAGTGTTTTATGGTGATTTGATGTTTGCCCCTGAAACTAATACAGACTATTTTGCTAGACTTCTTTACTTTGACAATAAGGTTTAAAGAAAAATACTAAAAGCGAGCAGTTTGCTGCTGAAATACAAGCCTGAGGTTCCCCCTCAACAGAAAAGTCTTAAGTCTTGCGTAAACATCTTATAAAGATGTCTTTTTTTAAAAATCCTTTACAGAATGAAACAAAGCATATCAGGAGTTAACACAGATCGCATGCAGTCTAACAACCTCTCTTACTAATTTAGGTCTCTTTCTTCCTAATAACTGTAATAACTTCAATGCTTGCCATGACAAGCATTGAAGAAGGTGTAATACACAATATACTAGCCTTGAAGTGGCTAAACAACAAAAACAGACTCTACTGGGCTGTCAAAGCTGATGTATGACTCTGCTTTCTGCATCTAGACACTATGCTAAAGAGCAAGTAAAGGCAAAAAAAGAAGAAAAAACACTACTTTACAAATCAAAACTACTTTGAACAAACAAAACCACAATATAAAAGAAATCTGTGCTTGTACAGAGTTTCCAATGACTTTTTATTATAAAAAACGTTATTATTATTATTTATTTTTTTTTTGGAGAACATTTTGTTTGTGAAAGAATCTTTGCTTTTCCTATTGTGGTCAAATTAAATTACAACAGGAGAAACAAAAGCTGTGATTTTCTTAGACACAGCCTGTGGAAGAGATGTGATGCACTTCTGTAGCCTCTTGCACTTCAAGAACATCATCAATGAACCATCCTGTGCACTGTCACAGCAAATCAGATGTATCTCGTGTGTCTTATCTCACCAGCCTGTTTGAGCCAGATCTTTGATCTGGCTCAATAAACGTGGGTTGAAAAGAACAGGTCCTGGTTCTGGACCAGGTCTCACGTTGAAGAGAAGCCATGTGATTATTATTCAATAACATAGAAATATTGCAGAAGCAAAGGTAATCATTACAAATAAGGGTTTATTTAAGAACAGAATTTCTTTAAAATGACTAATATGTTTCATTCGTTTTCTTTGTTGATGATGATCATGATCTATCTTTAATTTTCACTGAAAGTGAAAAAGCAGATTAAAAACCAGTGGAGTAAAAAATATATTGAGTTCAGGATCAGAAGCATCTTTGATCAGTCAGCAGTGTCATTCATTATTTGACAAAACTGAATACACAGAGAATTTTCCCCCGCACTTTCTACAACAATGCAGGTGTAAGGAAGCATTGCTTGTGCAAAAAAGCCTGATTATCCCAAAAAAGCATACTGTATCGAAATATAAGTAAGGGGAAGACAGCCCTATTCATACTCACACATTCACACAGTCACAGGGAATGAAGGAAAATTAAAACACGGTGGAAAGAATGGGAACTGGAAACAGGACAGAACAGGAAATGAATAAACTAATATAAACAGTAACTGGATTTAAGAACTGAAAATTGCAAATCACAGGAAAATGACAGCCTTTCCCTGATTTGCAGCTCCACCCTGTATTCTATAGTAAAAATAGCTAATTATATATCAGAATCAGAATACTTTATTGATCCCCATGGGAAATTATTTTGGATACAGTGCTCCAGTACAAACAGTAACACAGACAGACAATACACTAAGTAAGGAATGGCACAATATATACATGTATGTATGTCTCAATAAGTGATGTGTGTGTGTGTGTGTGTGTGTGTGTGTGTGTGTATATGTCACTTATTGATAAATAGCTGAATAAGAAAGAAGAGCATGTGCAAAAAATACAGTAGGTTTTCTTTATAGTTTTTGAAAATGCTTGTTTTGTCTATAGTAAAATTTCTTCGTTCTATTATTATTATTATTATATCCTAGTAAGTTTGAATACTACCAACATTTCTGGCCACAGTAAATGTAGCATGAAAGTTACGTGGCACAGTGCTGCCCATCCACCTCCTTTATTTATCCAGGAAGTGTCTTGAGTTACACTGTTTTATGAGAGACTTGGCCAAAGTGGCAACTTAAGATGGGCGTTGCAT